TCATCATCATCACCATCATCTTCATCATCATCACCATCATCTTCATCTTCATCACCATCATCTTCATCTTCATCATCATTATCATCAATGTCATCATTTTCAAGATGAAGAAAAGAGGAAGGAGGAGACATTTTCCTAGGCCTTTAAAATTCCATCCACTTCTGACCTCAGAATAATCTATAATCATCAATCACTCTGTCATTACATCTAAAAGGACCTGTCTCTACTATTTTGGGACTCACCAGATTAGTTCAGTAGAGTAACTAGATCAATGTCTGTCCCCTTGTCTATGAAGCCTGGCAGAGCAACTTGCTCTTCTTTCTGTATTCTCACTGCACAGAGTACCCCTGTGCCATCAGTCAGCCCTTACATTGTTACATCGTCCATATGAGCAGCTGTAATTGATAGCAGGCTGAGTATGGAATCAAAGAGTACTATTAGTCACCAGCAGTGACCTTGAACAAATCACTTCGTTTCTCTGGGGCTTTGTCTCCTCACCTGGACACTGGGGATCATATTATTTACCTCTCAGTGTTAGTGGGGGTAGTTTTCCCAGCACATAGTAAGTGCTCATAAAGATCATAGCTACTAGAATTTGTAGACATGTCTGGGTTCCCCACTAGATTATAAATTTAGTAAGGACACTGCCTGGCACATGGTAGATGCTCAAAAGTCCTTGCTAAAATGGAAACAATGGCTCTGGGCACCTGGGATGAAATAAGGCATCAAAACCAGGGGCAAGGTAGTCAGAAGACTGTTGTACACATTCTACTCTTCCCTACTCTCCCTCTTTCTTCCTCCCAGGAGGTAATATTTCCTTGGATTGTTGTTAGGTTGCCTACATTGAGTAATGACACCCTAGCAGCTTTGTTCTTCCTAGATCAAAGCCCTCTTAGACATTACCTTGTCTCCTTCCCAACAGCCTAAGAAGGCAGAGAACTGGTTGGTCCAGGGTGATTATTCCCATTCTGTGGATGAAAACAACAAGGACTAGGACTCATGAACTGACTGATGAGCAGAACCAGCGAGTGCTGGGCAGCCTGCCAGGGCAATGTTGCCTCTTGGTGATTATTATATTTGTTTGAACTTCACAGACCTTTTCCACCATGGTGTAGCCAATACCAACATTCTCTGTATTCCTCCAAGTGCCCTATTCTATTGTTACTGTGCCTTTGTGCTAGGGTTACCAGAGCTGGGGGGGGGGGCCCCCGGAAAAAAAAAAGGGCAATCTGGGGCCTGACTATCTGGCAAATCAATACTGATCCAATGCATAGATTTTTGGCTGGTCTGCCCTTGCTAGAAAGTTGGAAAATTTTTATTCATTGAGCTGAACCCGCTCATGGGTCACCCTGCTTTATCTGTGATGTTCTGCTAGCCAGGAATCCCATTAGCTGACTATGATAGCCTCTTGTACTCTACTCCTGAACTGAAAATATTTCTTTATTAGAAGTTTCCTAATGTTCTGGGCCTATGCATAAAGGGGCAGTTAAAACAGTACTTAGTAGATTCAGGGGGCCTGGAATAAGTTAAACTCTTTGAGATATTTTTTTCCTCCTTAAGAATTGAAATAATGTACGTGAAAAATCACAGTGCCTAATACGTGATAGAGGCTCCTTAAGCATTAATTAAACCAGAATCCTCAGAGTTCCCAGAGGTTAGCTTATTTATTCCCTGACTCAGAGTAAGTGCTCAGTAAACATTTGTTTGAACTGTAGGTGTTTTTGCATATATGGCAGGGCTATATTCATGGACCTTTCCTGTCTAGTTCAATTCTTTTTAAAATCTTTTAAAAAATATTTATTTATGTTTTGGGGAGAGCATATGTGGGGGAGGAGGAGCAGACAGAGGGGGATAGAAGATCTGGAGTGGGACCTGTGCTGACAGGTGGACAGTAGCAAGCCCGATGTAGGGCTCGAACTCATGAACTGTGAAAACATGACCTGAGCTGAAGTCGGATGCTCAACAGACTGAGCCACCCAGGTGCCCCCTCTCTGCTTCAGTTCTTAAGTTTTAAAACCTGGCCATAGCAATTTCTCATTGGTCAACTTTCTACACATCCCTGATCTTTTTTTTTTTTTAATTTTTATGTTTTATTTCATATTTGAGAGAGAGAGAGAGAGAGAGAGAGAAAGCACAAGCAGGGGAGGGGCAGAGAGACGGAGACAGAAACTGAAGCAGGCTCCAGGCTCCGAGCTGTCAGCACAGAGCCTGACGCGGGGCTTGAACTCACGAACCACGAGATCATCACCTGAACCCAAGTCCGATGTTTAATTGGCTGAGCCACCCAGGCACCCCTGATCTTAATACCAAGCTATTAACTCATCAAATTTGTTGAGAGTCTCCTAGTCCCAGGGGTGTATTCCCATCTACAACATTTCACAGAGACATGCTGTCTCTGTGACAGCAGCTTGGACTGGTCTCCTGCCATGCTCTCCATTGGTAGGACATCTCAGCATGTGTGGACGGTGTGGGAGGTTTGGCAACTGCCTTGGAACACAGCTACATTTAAGTAGCATTTAACAGTAAGCCACCCAACTGAGGGTGATGTAACCATGAGCTCAAGAATAAATATATTCCATTCTCACCTTGGAATCCTCCATGCACTGCTGCTGACTTAATTGTGCTTTAAGGCCAGCCGATTGTCAACCCAGTAGGGACAGTTCTTCCATACACATATAGTAAGGTTGGGGAAACACAGTCACCATGTGACAGTTAAATCCTGTTCCAAGTCCTCTTTGTGCACATGTGAGTGTGCGTGCCTGTGTGTGTGCAGAGTGTCTTTTTCTCAATGGATTCTGGACACGTTGTCTTGCTGGCGAATTCCACACCCATGAGACGTGTGAATCATGAGACCTCTTTGCTGACAAATGTTCATCGTGGTGTTATTATTTGCAGATCTGAGGCACAAAGGGAAGGAGCTATCTTTGCAAGTTGGAGGGGAGGGCCAGAGAGCAGTGACCTTCAGCTGAGGGACCCAGTTTACTGGAGGTGACCTTGCCAAGAAGAATCCAGGGGAATACCTATCTTCACCAACGACCCTCCTCACCAATACCCGTCTGCCTATGGCTTTGGTGATTTTGAGCTAGAACATTGTTTCAGTCGCAGTAAGCTTACAGCCCCAGGGGTGATGGAGGCTTAGACAATTTACTGTGAATACAAAGGAAACCATGGCCTAAGAGAATTATAGAGGAGACGCTACAGAGGTTGGGTAGACATTGAAGTAGGCTTTGAAAGATAGGATTTAGATGTATGACAATCAGTGGGCAGAATAGTATTAATACTATCTACTATTTACTGAGCACCGACTGTGTGAAAAGCACTGTCTATGGATTATTTTATTTAATCCCGACAAACAGCTCGCAAGACTCACAGGGGTTATAACTTGCCTTAGGTCACAAATCTACAAAGTGAAAGAGTTAGGGTTTGCACTCCGGGCTGTTTGCTCTCAGACCCAGGCCAGAGTACACTGAACCACGCTGCCAGGGGACCAGTCTTCCTGGGTGGTGGCTCAGAAGGTGGCAGAAGGCAAGCGCCAGGAGGCAGAGGAGACCCACAGCTAACGGGACTACAGCGCTTCTTTTACATCCAACCCTTTGTCAATACACTTGTTTAATAAACAAGTTACTGCGAACAGTGCGAACAATATTTATTTCGGTTTCAACGACACCGAAGAGCACATCATCGGATCAGGACCGACTCGAACGCAGGAAACCACCCTTCCCGGAAGCCCAGGAGGGCAGAAGGACCCGGATCGCACAGTGCCTGGGAAAGACTTCATTTCCCAGCATGCAGCGGGAGGGCCGGCCCACAGCTCCCGGCATGCCTGGGGAGGCGGTGCGGGCCACCGCGGGCTCCGCCCTGCTCCGCGGCTGCCCCGCCTCTGCCGCTCGCCCCGAGCCAATGGGAAGGCTCCATACTGCAGGGTGTGACGGGGCCGGCGCCGCAGAGGAGTTGCAAGTCGGCGAAAGCGGCGGGAAGTTCGTACAGTGCAGAAGGCAACGCGTCTACGGCTCGGGGTAGGGAGGCCGCGGGCCGCGAGCGCCGCCGCCGGGGTTTCCTGCACCTGCCAGGCCGGCACCCCAGGCCTAGCTGCACGTTCTCGCGCGGCCGGACGTGCCTCGCGTCCTGGGCGCTCCGGGCCCGGTGTCAGGGCCGGGGGTCGCGTGCTAGCAAGGACCGACGAGGTCCTTCTGGCATCGTGAAGTTCACATTCTGGAGAGGAAACACCGAATAAAAAGCAGACACTACAGTTTGCAGACCCTGAAAAGTTCCCTTGAAACGAGGACAGGCGATTGTAGTAGGCCAGAGTGATGGGGGTGAAGGAGGGCATCCAGAGGAGGTGACGTTTGACTTAGGAACTGAGAGTGGAGAAGGAGACTGCCCCCCCCCCCCCCCCCATAGCACTCCAGGCCCGGGAACCTTAGGGTGTGGGGCTGTCCCCTTACTAATCTGTCCGTGTCCGGGTGAGGCCCGGTAAAAGCTTGCCCTGGAGGGCATGGTGCAAGGCGGTGGACTCCCTGGGTCGTTTTGTAAGGGATCTTCGTATTCCTCTGACAGTTCCTTCTCTGTTCTCTGTCCCTGGGCGCCACAGTGACACCCTTTACTGATGCAACTTCATTCGAGGCAGCGAATAGTTTTTCCCAGCGCCGAAATAGTTTGTGGCTCTGGTCTCTAAACTCTTCGGTGTTGTAGGTGATTCGAGGAACAGCTGCAGAGTCATTGGGTTGGGAGCCCGAGAGAGGGGGACGCTCGATTCCTGTTGAGACCATCCATGTTTCTAACTTCTTTTCTGTCGAGTCACTCGTTATTGTTTTTCTGCGTATCGACTCTTCCTTTCCCTCCCCCACGTCCCTTTCTTGGAACAATTTGGAAATACCACCCCAGTAGAGGTGGCAGTTTTTGGGAACTGTTTAAGAGCCTCATTAATGCTTTTTCTTTCCTCTCCCTCCCTCCCTTCTTCCTCTCCCTCCTTCCCTGCTTCCTTCTCTGTCTCTTTCTTTCTAACTGGAATTGCCTATCTGTTGAGTCCGAATTCACAAGAGGGGGGAAAATGTCACCATTTATTTTTCGGAGATCAGAATCGAGACACCTTTTAATGACACGCTGAGCAGGTCTTTGGGGAGAATGTAGCCTACAATTTTGAAGCCATTTCAGAGGGAAGCAAGGGTTCTTTACACAATCATTTTAGATTATGCTGTTGAAAATGATATGTAGTAATTAGAATTAAATTTCTGGGTAGATAAGGTTATGTTCATTTACCCATAGAAGGGAATGTAACTTAAGTAGTCATTTAATAATAGCTTTCTCTGCTGAAACGATCCCAGATGGTATTCACTGTGCACCTACCTCAACATTGCTGATCTGATTGTGTTTTTATTGTTTAATTATTTTTTTTAACATTTATTTATTTTTGAGACAGAGCATGAACGGGGGAGGGGCAGAGAGAGAGGGAGACACAGAATCAGAAGCAGGCTCCAGGCTCTGAGCCATCAGCCCAGAGCCCGACGCGGGGCTCGAACTCACGGACCGCGAGATCGTGACCTGAGCCGAAGTCGGACGCTCAACTGACTGAGCCACCCAGGCGCCCCCTGATTGTGTTTTTAAACAGTAAAGCAACTTGAATTTAATAACAAAAAAAACTGGTATTAGGTATCACTGTAAATTTAGTACTAATATCGAGTACAGATGTTAGGTTTATAGCGTAATGGCTTCTTCTTATGTTTAGTACTGCAAAAATTATGAGAGGGTGTATGTTAAACAAATGCGGTAATGGAGTAGTGTGTCAAACATAGAATCTGGCATATAGTAAGCTAGTAAGTGCCCAGGAAGTGGTTCTATGGAAAGCTTAGGCTAAGTTTTGTTCCAGGATGCAAGTGTATATATAAGAAGAGCAGTGCATTCAAAATGTTGACAGACCCTAAAATTTGTTAAATACGTCCCTTTTTTTTTTTTTGTAGTTGAGAACTAATGTGAGATAATGGTAAATATGTAAGTGAATGTCTTACATGTCTGGAAAAGAAAAAAATAAGATTCTTACTTCGACAACTATATATTTTTGCCTTGACGTTCTCCCAAATAAGATAACAGTGTACAACGAATAGAATTTTGATTTGCAAGATAAAATTTTGAAAGGATTTTTGATTTGAAAAAGAAAACTTCCTGGAAATGAAGCAAAGCTTTAACATTTACCTTCTACCAAATGAAGGATGAGTCCTGAATTTATGCGGATGTGCAAATGCTGGTATCTCCATGGATCAGGCAGCCAACCTAAGGGAAATTAAGTGCTGCCTCTGTGTGTGTAGGTGAGGCTTTCATGAAGATTGGTCTTGATGGGTTATGAGAATGGGTTGGTAACTGAATAGGACTGGAGGACATTTTTCGGGCTGGTAGGCTATTTTCTGTGTTTGCCGAGGTTATTTTTCAGGGTGAACAGAAACGGACTCCTTTATTCACAGGATACCGTGCCTGACTTGTAGATGTCAGGAAGTGTGCTAGGTACAGTGTGTTCTTGCAGTTGTAGTGTTTGTAGACAAAATTTAGAAAAGATGGAATTTTTAATAAGGGCACAAGATTAATTTAGAAAGGTGATAGAATCCTGACAGAGCACCCGACAGAGTAGGTAGGATATGTTTGTAGTCTAGGATGCGTTTGGCCCCTTTGACCGAAATTCCTGAGAATATGTTCCTACTTGGCCTTGTAAGTGAAGAGGGCTGTGCTCTTTAATCTTTCCCCACTTTGGCTCCTGAATACCCTTAACTACCTGGCATTTTGAAGTTGCTGTTTTGGAGTCATTTCATGCGCTTTCCTAATTGCTCCTGCCCCGCCTCTCCCGGTGTTGTCTCACATCTCTGCCCTCAAACCAGGCAGTCTGCTACTCTTGTCCTGGGTGACCTATGGGCAGCCCTTTCAGAAAGGAATGCTCTCTGGAGAGCCCAGAGAGGGCTTAGGTGTGCCCTTGCCTCCTACTAAGACTTCGATTTTTAATACTCATCAATAAATACTAATGGCAAGAAACTACCTTATAGTGGCATTCTCCAGTAGATTTACTAAGAATTTTATTAGCCACAGCATCTTGGTTAACTTGGAAAAACACAGTGCGAGTCATATTATTTCTTTAGTCTTCATGTAAATACCTGAATTTTGATGATTCTTTGCAATAACTGCTGTCTCTCTATGGGTTTCTGGCCCATTGGATGGGAACCAGTACTCTAGGATTTGAAAACTTGGATCCAGTACAAACTGACCGATACTTAGGATGAACATTAAACATGTACACACAGGAAGATGCTATTGTCAATAAACTCATATACATTAAGAGGGATGTTGTAGTAGGTGGAGTCATATAATTGCACGGTTATTAGCTGGAGATTTAGGAGTGCTCTGTCATGCACTTTTTATTTTTTTTTTATTTTTTAATTAATTAATTTATTTATTTTTTCAACGTTTATTTATTTTTTGGGACAGAGAGAGACAGAGCATGAATGGGGGAGGGGCAGAGAGAGGGAGACACAGAATCAGAAACAGGCTCCAGGCTCTGAGCCATCAGCCCAGAGCCCGACGCGGGGCTCGAACTCATGGTCCGTGAGATCGTGACCTGGCTGAAGTCGGACGCTTAACCGACTGCGCCACCCAGGCGCCCCTGTCATACACTTTTTAAACAAATAGCATACTTTATTGGAAATACACATTTTCTTTTTTTTTTTTTAATTTTTTTTTTCAACGTTTACTTATTTTTGGGACAGAGAGAGACAGAGCATGAACAGGGGAGGGGCAGAGAGAGAGGGAGACACAGAATCGGAAACAGGCTCCAGGCTCTGAGCCATCAGCCCAGAGCCCGACGTGGGGCTCGAACTCACGGAGTATGAGATCGTGACCTGGCTGAAGTCGGACGCTTAACCGACTGTGCCACCCAGGCGCCCCGGAAGGACACATTTTCTTATGGACCTCACTATCCAGTTGGTCCCACGAGGGACTGAGGAACTGGAAAGTCATTAGGAACAAGGGCAGCACCCCTGTTCCCCACTCTTGGGGGTGTTCTGGTTCTTTCTGTGCATTTATTTCATGTCTTTGCAGACCGGCTGTCGTGCTGCTGTTTGCATGTGGATGCCTGGTCCACAGCTAACTCCTTGTTTCAAGAACCCAAAAGAGACTCCATTATCCATTTAATTGTCAGTTATACTTAAAATTTTTAAAAATCAGGAAGTTAGAAATCTTCTAGCCAAGATAACTACAGCTTTATTTCAGATTAATTGCTTTCTCCAGTTTTGCCAAGTAACAGCTTGAACAAATGCCATTGTTTGATGATACTATGTATAAATGCACTGTGATCACATATCACAATACTGAGAGCTGGAAAGTGCTGTTAAACCTTTAGTTTCTATAAGCTATGTCTGGAATCCATAGAAACAGAAACTTTTATTGTTGGCATTATTGTATCTTTTCACTTCTTATTGCAGTTTACTATATAATAAGGCAACAGATATCAACAAAGAGATCATATCTAAGTATAAATTCTTTATTAGAGATAATAAGAAAAAGTCTTTGGGAATCCAGATAAACGTTTTAAAAACTAGTTTCTTAAAAACTAAGCTCAGGTTATAACATTTAAGAGGCTTCATCTTACTGGTTTTTCAGGCCTTCAGAAAACTTTTGTTTTAATTTTTTACAGTTTGTTTCTTTTGAGAGAAAGAGAGAGAGAGAGAGAGAGAGAGAGAGAGACAGAGAGAGCATGCACATGAGTGAGTTGGGGACGGGCAGAGAGAGAGAGACTCCCAAGCAGACTCTGCGGCATTGGTAGCGTGAAGCCTGATGCTGGGCTCGAACTCGAGAACTGTGAGGTCGTGACCTGAGCCGAAGTCAGATGCCCAGCAGACTGAGCCACCCACATGCCCCTGTTATTTTTATCTTAGGAGCACGAGCAGTGGAGAGGGGTAAGGGGAGAGAGATGCTCAGCACGGAGCCTGAGGTGGGGCTTAATCCCACAACCCAGGGATCATAACCTGAGCCAAACTGCTCA